TTGTCGTGTGCTTCCCTATCTAATCGCAATTTTTATTTTATTTTTTCTTTCTTTTTTTTCTGAATTTAGAAATTTAATTTTTTTTTCTCACTCATTGATTTCGGGCTCCATCTCCTACATTTTAATATCTTTTACCCTTTCTTTTTTATTTTGTTTTCTAGTTTTTATGTACGAAATTTTAATAGCTATCATGTGTGTTTAGAATTTTTGAATGAAATCCTTGATTGTTCATTTATTTATACTTATTTACAATGTATCTATATGAATGTGGATACGCAAACAAACTGTTGTGATGATAATAATTTATTATATCATACACATCGTATATATACACTGTTGACAAATACATTTAAAATAAATAGGAAAAAAGAAGAAACGGTGCTTAAAAATTTATTAAAACAATCTCAACTTTAAAAACCTCGCATTCTCAAAATTTTGCTCTACTTAATCTTGAAATAAATCTTTTACACTTTTTAAATACAACACTTTTAAATAAATCTATTACAACAAAAATGTTGTAAGAGCAAATCGATTTATATATTTTGGAAATAAAAACTTGAATAATTTGTTATTCACATTACATCAATAAAACAATATTTATCGTTTTATAATTCTTGAAATATAACAGCTTTTCTTTTTTTAATTTTCATATTTAATACTTTGTGAAACTCTTCTCTAAATTAATTTAAATAATTTTTTTTTCAGTGAATATACTTAATATTTTCTACATTTACATAATATTTAAGCACATAAATACATAAAAAGTATACAAATTGCGGTACACAAAGTGTGTTTGTATGTAACTAAATATTCTTATATCTGTTTCTTATTATTTTCGATTTAAAAAACAATTAAATAGATATACAGCGTGATTCAGAAAGGTATACAACAAAATATACAATCGGTTAGAGAGTCGGAAGTGGGTAAACCTTTTGTACGGGACTAGCTGCTAAATCTCAAGGGTTTCCGAGTTACATGGATTTTAACGAATTTTCTCGAAATTTCTACTTATTAAAGTTTTTTTGTTTATAACTTCCGTTCCGAAAAATAAAGAAGCTTCAAATAAACAGTTTTTGAAAGGCCTAGTGAAGGGCTTTTGGGATATATTAGGCTTCGGGACCTGCACTTTATATGAAATTTCATATAAGCTTCACTCAACCATCCGCGAAACCTCCTAAATTTTTGAAGAAATCAAGCGTCAGCAACTGGACGTTTACTACGGGCCAAATATACATTTTTGCGAATATAAAGAGGAATAATCAACCGATCTCATTGAAATTTAATATTTAAATTCTTCGTATATTATAACAATAAACATATAAATTTTTTGGAAAGATCAGGGCTCGAAAACTGATCTGCGGGCCGATTCTACATTTTTAACCATATCTACGGAACGAATTGATGGAATTTCTTGAAATTTGAATTTTGCGTTCTGGTTGTTACTCAAACTAACTGGCGAGCATTGCAGGGAATTCGGGTAAAACAAAGCGAAACTCTACTAAGAGCCCAATTTACGTTTTTCTAGGTATGTTAACTATAAGCTTACTAATGTCCTAAAAATTGTAAAGAAGTATTTAACAGACAATTTTTTAATATTCTGTAACACTTTCACTTTACTAGACAATACACATTACGGTCGGTTATGTGCTGATCACATCAGATTTTTTAAAAAATATTCGTATATGAATAAAAGTAATTTTAATAATGTAGTGCATAACTAGCTAGATCGTTTTTAAACTTTATTGCTTTCATCTTCATGTGTGTAACAATTAAATAATTAAAAAGAAATATTCTCACATTATATAGATTCTCATATATATACCTATATATATGTAATGACAGCAGTAGGTTAACAATTTTGGTCTTTCAAAATTTCTAAATACAAAACACATTTTTCTTATTTCAGTACTTTTCGTTATTATGAAAAAATCATTGCAAATTTTAATTTTTATTTTAAATACATTTTCAATTAAATCGAAACTAAAAAAAATGTTTTTTAGCTTCATTCGCCTCTCTCCCTATACATTTGCCTGTTCGTTTCTTATTCTTCTATTAATTTTTCGTTTCTTATGAAATTGACTTAAAAAAATTACATTTAATAAGAACAAGCCCAATGATGATAATGCAAAATGTGGACATAACTTAGAACATTTGACGAATTAAAACTAAAGGGAAACACTATTTTCTAAAGTATAAGCACAACAAAGGGCAGTAAACAAGTGTAGAACCGAGCCTATTTGTTATATTTGAAACCATGAATTTATGCAAATTTTATTATTTAAGTTTTTGTTTTTTAGAATGAGATTAGTTTTGTAATCGTAATTCATTGTTGCAAAATATTTTCTCTATTCGTAATAACAAAGTTTGTTTGTTTGATAAACGTTTTTTTATTATTTTTATTTGTTTATTTACTTTTATGTTTTTGTGTAATATTTAATTTCATTTTGAGTTTTTCGTAATATCCTTGAAGAAATTTCTTATTATTAAAAAAAAGAAAGCAAAAAAATTGTTTCGTTTTTTTTTCCTCAACACTGAATTGAAATTTTTAAATAAAACAAAACAAAAAATTTTTAAAAATTTTTCTTTTTAAACCAGTTTAATCTCTTTTTAAAATTAAATTTTTCAATACTTATTTAAGGTAATGGAAATTACACGCATTTTGTTTGTCTTTCGTTGCGAAATTCAATGTCAGCACTTGTTTGTCTTATTAAACTTAGTTTTAGGTACAGGTCTCGTTTTAAAATCATCTTCCTATATGAACTAGAATATACTACAGCGTCTTGATCTTCAACTGTTCTAAAATTAGATGAGCTACGATTATGATAAGTTTATCAGCAGAAATCTGAAAATTTCAGAAGTTAGGCGATCTAATTTGGAGAAAATTTTGAAGAGCCACCTTAAAAAAAACCAAAAATTTCAAAAATTTATTTTTTATACAATTATGATATTTGAATTAGAAGTTTTATTTAGTTTGCATTAATTTTTATCTGATTATATAAATAGAATACATAGAAATTTTTAAATATATGTACTGAAACCAATTATAATAATTGTGTTTTTTGAAGAAATATTTAAGCGCCCGAATTAATATGGAATTGAGTCGTATATAGTTTTCTTATTAATATTAGTCTAAGTAAGATCTCCAACGCTTGTGGTAAATTCTTAAACGTCAAATTTTACAAAATCTGAGCTGTCTGAGTTTACGAATACTCTACTGCGTTTTTACTTTCAGTCAAAATTTACATTCTTAAACGTTTAAAATAAGTCAATTAAGCGTCAAAATTGTAGATTTTTTTTACATGCAGACAGTATTTTTAAAGTATAATTACTTTAAAAATAATATAAAAAATATTTTTTTTTGTTAATTTTTAATATGTAAGTATAAAATTATTTTAAATCTAAAAAAATTTTTTTTTTTGTTTTGACGTTTACGGATGATCAAAATTTAAAGTCAATTACGGGTAAAAAGTTTACTACATTTCTGTCCGTAAAAGTTTAATACGTCAGACAGTTTGCAAACTGAAAACAAAATTATGACGTTAAAGAATTTGCGGTAGCTGGAGAAATAACAATCTAGAAGGATACGAAAAAAAATAATATGCAGAAAAAAAAGAAAACCAAAAAAATGTATTCTCAATTCCCATATTATGCACATTGTATTCGTATAAAATATGTACCGATTTTCTACACAACTTATTTATTTTTGTTTCATTTTCATATTCCCATGAATTTTATGGAAACTATTGAGCTTAAATAGCTAAAATGGTTCGGCGTTAATGACATGCACCAATATTCATATTATATTAGAAAAGGAAGAAAAATATTTATGTGGTATGCATGTTCATACTTATATGTGAATAGTAATTAACATTCAATTCTTTTGCAAAGGTGAACTTAAAATTTTTAAACATTCTTATACACATTATGTAAATAAATAAGAAAACAAAAAAAATCAATACGTTATGTTTTATAAATTCAATACAATTTATTTTGTTCAGGGGAGAATTCAATGCAAACTTATAATTATTTGAATGGATAGAACTCCTGCCTACATAACGTTGAATGTGTGCAGGATTTTCATTATTAAGCAATAACATGTTTATCTGTTATAATTATCGAGTTCGATTTTACTTTTTTTTTTTGGTATATATAATGCTTGCGATTTACAGTATTATAACATGTTAGTAAGATTTAAGTTGAAAACAGAACGAGAGCGATTTTCCGCGGCGAAATGTCAAAACTATATATAATATACATATGTATATATATATACTTACATATCACAAGTATTTTATTTCGATAAAAATATATTTTTTCAGAGCATTAGTATATTCATACCACACATATTACGCAGGTGCTAGAATAAACCGACTTGACATACAGAACTGCAAGAACTTTGTAAGATTTAAGTTCATGCTCATTGAAAATCATTACCGATTGATTGATTACTGCTGGACGTAACTTTTTATATTTTGAAAGTCAACCACTTATTGCATAATCTAATTTTTAATTTTCCTTTCTTTAATGAATTAAATATTTATGTTCATTCTTATTTTATCACGTTAAGTCAAAATGAATCAGTCTATGCTAAACAATGAACACAAAATAAAGCCAATGAACAAAAATTTTTGAGCTTTTTTAATTACTTAGTTTCTTAAAATTTAAGAATTTCATTTGTGATACAGGTACTTGTGGTAAGGTTTTTTGATTTACTAACTTTTGAGTATGCTGCAATATACAATGAATTGTCGTTTTTAAAATTACTTAATTTTTTCATGCACGTGCATGTAGTTTGGAAAAACCGATTAAAATTGATTAGAAAAAAAATTACTTAAAAAATTCGTCTTTCGATTGCGTAAACACCGAAGACGGATGTCTTTGGCGCCCTTAACTTCCTGGTATTTAAGAATCATTTTAAGTATTATAAAATATATTGCAATTATTAATTAAAATTGAAAATTATATTATGTTTTTATTTTATTTTTAATTTTTTTTCTCAGATATGGCTAATATAATATTAATTGGATGCCTTGCAACGCTAGGAGTTATAATTGCTATATTATTGTTTTTGGCTGGTGGTTATTTATGGTGGCGTCATAAACGTTCTCAATTACAATTTATTGAACCGAATGAAGATGAAGAATCTAGTAGTGGCAGCATGCGGTAAATATATTTTAAATGTTATATAACAACATTTATGATAATTATATTTTGCCTTGTTTTTGTTTTTCTAAAAATTATAAATACCAAAATTTTTATATTTAGTATCCCACAAACGACTTTACCAGAAGCACATCAAGAATCAATACCACAACAACAACCAATAACAAAATTGGGACAATCGCAACATACACCAGCTACGCCCATTCAAAATAATATTAACCGAAAATTAAATGGATTCTTAAATTTGAAAACACCCCTAATAGGGTAAGCGACAAAAAACAAACAAATATTTTTCAATTTTAAATTGTAAATTTTTCAGCTATTGTTATAGTTGTGTAGTGAATTTTTTTTTTTTTGCTAAACAAAAAAAAAAAAATTTATATAATTTTTTTTGTAAATTAATTGAATTGATTTTGAACGAAATTTATTATGTTCGTACATTTGATTGAAATAAAATAATTTTTTTTGCATTTATAAAACGTTAATTTTGTTACTATAAAGAATACAGTTTTATAAATTGATTTTCAATTACACAATGCAATTTCAGTTTTTTTTTTTAATTGAAAACTATATATTTCAGAAATATGTTAAAAAAATATTATTCTTTAATTTAAAAAAATTAAATATCGCCTTCCAAGTGGTAAGCAATCGAACCTGGAAATGTTAATATTGAAATATTGAAATATTTAACCTATCCGTAATCTTCGGAACCTCAAAAAACTTTAACTTCGGTTTAATTTCGTTTATACACATACAAATTTTTTTAGAGAAAAGAAGTAAATGTTCATAAAAATATTACTATAAAATTTTACACAATATACATAAATATGTCAGTGTGGGGACAGTATTGTTTCTTTTTAAGCACTTTTCCAAAAATTTTTTGAAAAAAAGTGCTTATTAGTTTCACTCTGTCCGTTTGTGGATGTTTACAAAACTTCTACACCCTTGAAGATACAAAAGATATTTAATATGTACATAGATCTTTACTAGAAATTTATTTCCGTAGAAGAAAATTTTTACTTATTTCCCCCCTTCTAGAAGTTACACCCCTCGAAAAACCCTAAAAATGCCATTTTTAATTTTTAATTGCAGTGAAACCATAAGCATTTATTAAATATTGCAAACGCAGAAAGGCAGTAACTTGCTTTTCCTATCGCGGCATACTATAGTTAAACTTTAAAAAAACAAAATGGCCGTTCAAATTTGCGTTATCTATAGTCCGTTTTTTTTCAAATTTTTGATGTCGTTTTTCTTCTAGACCCCAGATTGTAGGAGCCTGAAATTTTAGCAGCTTTTAGACACTAATAAATTCATCATTTCGTGAGAAGAAAATTTTTTTCCATCAGCACCCCTCTCAAGTTATCGCCTCTTGAAAATTGTAAAATTTGAATTTTTGACGCCGAAACCGCAAGCCTTTTGAAATTTCAATAAACGCAAAAAGCTAACGTTAAATTCCATTACATTAAAAAATATAATTATTTTTCCTAACACACGCAATTAACCCTCAAAATCTAGCATTATATTAACCCCTCTTTAAATTAATTTTTGCTTTATTTCAAAGACTGCATGAGTAGTTCATCCTAAATATATGCAATCCCAGAAATAGTTTTGCACATAAATAAGAATAATTTTAATAGTGTGGTAGGTATGCATAGATTGCTTTTAAAAGCAGTGTTTTCCCTTGTTGAAGGGAAAAGTGCTCCAATACAAACCATTGGTTCGACCTAACTTTATTTTTTTTGAATTTTCGAATATTTGATTCTAATTAAGTACATTATTTCCATTTTAAATCGACTCAATATTGATTAATATACTTTTGAAAATATGTTAAAACTCAAAAGTTATTTACAAGTAATTTTTAATACGAGTGTTTTTGAAGCATTCAAGCGATATACAATACATATATACACTATCTAATCAAACGCCTACATTTATACACATACATATGTCCATACGTATATGGATGAAAAATTGTGTATATATATTAAAAATGAAATATTTATTAAAAAAAATTATAAAGAAAAACTGAACTTGCATTCATTTGCATTGATTTTCGTTCATAATAATAATAATATTAATATATGCATATATATATTATATAGGGTGATTCAGTAAAGAGTACAATATTATATATCATTGTTTATATATTATATATCATGTAAATTTTATAATAATATAATATTATATATCATGTAAAATTTTTGTTCAGAACTATTTGTAAAAGATATTTTAAACAATTTTCACGAAATTTCTTCTTACCTAAGTTTTTTTGCTTATGACTTTCCTTCCAAAAAAGATATCCATTCAATTTAAGTTACTAAACGTTAAGAAATTTTGTATGGTATGGGAACTTATAGCATATATAGAATTATATAGTCCTGTCAAAAATTGTTTATTTAAAGGTTCTATCTGTTTTGGAATGGAAGTTACAAACAAAAAAGCTTGGGCAAGTAGAAATTGTTTAAAATTCCTGTACCTCAGAAACGGTTCCGACCCTCTACCCGGTGGTATATGGCTCCTAGCTTGTTGGTGAATCACTCTGTATAAATATACATTTGTATGCATAATACATCATGTAAATATATGTAAACATAATACTACATATATTTATATATAAAAATATATGTATATATTCTTTGTATATTAAAAACAAAAACGAAAAAACAAAAATTGTGCAAAATTTTTGGCTTTAAATGTCTTTTTAATATTTTCTTATATAAATATATATATGTATATATATATATTTATATATATATATACGGATAAAACTACTTTATATAAAATGAAATTTGTCATATAATATAAAAAACAAAACAAAAAACATTTTGTTTTCTATATAAAGGTATATAGTACCTATTATCAAATAATAATGAGGTTCTGCCAAATAAAATTTATTATCATTTTTTATACATACATATATACATACATATATACATTATTATTTTTGAAAACGACGTTTTCTTTGCATTTATTTTGTAATTTTTAATTTAATTTCAGAATATTTCATGCTTAGTTTTTTTTTTGCTTCCTTGTTATGTTAAGACCATAAATTCAAATTCGTATTCAGGATTTTTTTACTTTGAAATCTTCGTCAAATTCGTTGGTACGAAGACGTGAAATGATAAAAATAAAATTTTAACAAAAAAAGTATCCACATCTACTTTAATTTATAATTATTATAAAAATTTCCATATATTTTAATTGAGACAAATTTATTTATTAAAAAATATGAAAAAGAAAATATTTCAATTAGCAAGATAGTATAATATTTGAAATTTCTTATTTAATTTCATAAACATTAAAAACTATTTAAAATTCAATTAATTATCATCATAATTAAATATCATTATTAATTTTTGATTCAAAAATATTTGATTTTGATATTTTTTATATTAAATTTTGTGTCCTACCTATATCCTTGAAACTTTTTTCAATAATAAGGAAGAAAAAAAAGAAAATTTTAACAAATTTCATTGTATATAAAAAATAATAAATACACGCAGGTTTCCACATTATTTAAACACTCCCCATAAATTCACATATTATTTTGAAATTTATTTTTTTAATAAAAAAAAAAATAAAATTTTCAAACGTTGTAAAATAAAATTTAAAAATTTATGAACTCTTGCGCTTAATCATTTATGTTTATGGAATAATATTTTTTAATCAACCATTCTTCGTACATTTATTTTACATATTTTACTATTGATATGCTTAATTTTTTTTATATTTTATACCCCCCCCCCCCCCCCTCCCTCCCCCACCCCTTTTCAGTATTTCCTTCTTTTAATAAATATTTTTTACTTCTTTAAAAATATGAACAAAAAAACTAAAATTTACAATATTTTGTCATTAAATTTGATTTTTATATTCATTTGGTTAATTAACTTTTATAAATATTTTACAAGAGTTAATTAATTTAATTAAATTGTTTATCTATAAAATATAGTTTTAACATTTAATTAAATTCAATTTCTTCAAATTATTAAACTATGTTTTACGGTTCCTAATTCTTATTCATAGTTTTTATATTTAATTATGTTTATGAAATAATATGTTCAACGAACGTGCATTGTATTTTCCAAAAGTTAGAATTGGCAACACCAATAAAAAATTTTTTCTATATTTTTTAAAAGTAAATAATATAGTACTGAAATTAATGATATTAAATGGCGGTGCTTACATTTTTATCTCCATGATTCATATATAGCACCACATACTTTATCCTATACTATTTAGCTTCAGGTAATTAGTCCAAATTTCGACATATAGTTTATGATTGTATATAAAGTTTAATTAATCAGTTTCATTAGCATTAAACGTAAAAAATATCATTAATTTTTAAATTTTTCTGAACTGGAAAGGAACATTTGTTTTTCATACTTGAGACTGATAAAATTTTAATATTTTTATTCAAATATCAAAACCATTATAGTATTTTTTGCGCTTATTTGCTTAAATGGCTGTGCTACTTACTTGTCCATAAATGTATTTAAATGTCGACTCCTTAAATGTATATTCATACATACTTTTTTTAATTCTATCTCTGATATTTTAACTTAAAACTAAAAAATAATTTTAATTACACATTCTATTTACACCTACAACATTTTTTTAAAACAAGACAATCATGCAAAAAAAATTTTTTGTTTACAACAAAATTATAATTATTTTTTATTTCTTTCTTAGTTTTTTTTTCTTACAAAACTAAAATTTTTCATATAGAATACGCGATATTGATACGAATGTGAGGAAATTGCGAAATATGCATAAGTTTTACAGTCATCAAAACTAAAAAAAAAAAAATAAATAAATTGCAATAATTGAAATTAAAAGGAGAATAATGATGAAAAATGAAAACAAAAAAAATGAGAACCAAAAACAAAAAAAAATATTATTTTTTTCCAAGGACTTTTAGGGAAATTTTTTTAATTAGGAAAAAAATTGTTGCTGTTTATTACTTTTTGTTTAGTATTTTTCTTTTTGCAAATAACAATCTGTTTTTTTTACCGACCGTATTGTGTTTACAATAGGTAGGTTATGTGATGGCAACAAATTTTGCAAATCGAGTTTTCGGTGGGAATGTACTTCTCCATAGTAGGGAAGTGTAAATTAACTGTTTTTAACAACCTGTCGGTCTGTTGGTCTATCGGTCTGTGTGCACGCAGTTCGGCTGAACCGATTTGGATGAAATTTTATATTTAAGTTTATTTCCACCATGGTACGGATTGATCAACTTTTGGGATATATCAGGCCTCGGGAAC